CTCTCTCTCTCTCTCTCTCTCTCTCTCTCTCTCTCTCTCTCTCTCTCTCTCTCTCTCTCTCTCTCTCTCTCTCTGCGTGACAAACAACATCACTGTCCGGGGAAAGCGCGGAAGCGGCGCCGAGAACCGTCCGCCAAGGGCCCCGGAAAAAAAATCGCGGGATGATAGAAGCGCGACTACGCACTGCCGAACAAAGAAGAGAATATCCTACAAAGACGACAGAACAGTGGAGACAATCGATATTAGAGGGTCTGATGACAGGCATAGCGGATCCCAAGTGGAAGAAGAGGAGGAACACGACCGTTCCGCGCCAGAGAAGTCAGATGGTGCGGAGGACGAGGAGCCAGGAAACGAGGGAAACGACAGCGATTCTTTCCGTAGACAATCGCAAGACACTGATGAGGACGACGACAGCGACGGCAAGTCGGCCAGCGAGAGAACAAGCGAAGACCAAAGCGCCGCTTCGGAAAGAGGTGGTTCGCCATTTCCTTCGAGGACGCTGCGCAGAGAAGGAGACGGGCAGGCATGCAATGGCAGCGACACTGAGGAGCGTGTCGGTGACAGACAAATCGTACAGCACGTCAGCGCCGCCGGAAAAGGTAAAAAAACCCGCTTCGCACTGACTCCCCTCCCACTCCGATCACATAATCCCGTGCCCCCACGCGGTGCACGTCTTTACGCACGGAGAAGTGTCTTTGTAAATGCACAGCTGATAGCCGAATCTTCAATTTTGCAAGTGCTGTATTCAAAACAAGGCGCTGAGTTGTTAACACTCTCCTATGCGTTGTGTCTTCTGTTTTCCACCGATCGCAACGTCACGAACGAAAGTGTGCGCAAGCGGCGGAGCCGTGCAAGGACCGAAGGACGAGGGCGCCGCATTCAAGAAGAAAATGAAGGGCAAGTTGTTGCGTTCCGTCGCCAAAACCTTTGCGTTCTCTGCGGCAAACGACGCAACTCTGTACCCGACAGAGGACGCGTTTTTCGCGGCGGTGCAAGCGACGACGAAACTGGCAGGGGAGACAGCAGAGGAAGGGCTGCGGTCTCACATAGCAGAGTGCGGGATTCGAGTTGTCATAAGGGAATGCAACAGAATGATGACAACGATCCGCGGAGAGATTACATGGCAGCTGAAACATTGGTTTTGGGCTGAAAAACGGATTCCGCTCATCAGATCACAGCAAACGGACCACCACCTCCCCGCTCGCAACAAGATGCGCACCGAGATGAAGGAGAACAAGACGTGGAGACGGAGCGGCGACGATCCGTGGGGCGCCCCCGCCTTCAAAACGGCACTCTTAAAAGTTTTTCAGATGAGGAAGGAAGGCCGGAACCTGGGCGTGACCCTGCAGCAACTGGCTTTTGCGGAGATGGTCATTCAATGTGAGATAGAACAGACAACGAAGACGACACGAGTTGCGGAGCAGATAGAAAAATTGGTATCTATAAAGCAGGCAATCGTCTCATCTCTCCGTAGCCGAGACACGGTAATGAGTTTTTCCGTCTTCAAGCTGGACCGTTCCATATCCGTGGCTGAGAAGGCAACAACGCTCTTTCACTCTGGCACGCCGTCTGTCCACAGGCCTGGGTCTCCAAGCACCACAATAACGGATGACGATTACGACATCGAGTTCATTCTCCCTCAGAGTACAGCAGCCGGAAACGGGGACAGGCGCACTTGTGTTTTGTCATCTTTGTCAAGTTGTGCGATTGAGTGGTGTGTACGGCTGACTCTGTAATGGTAACATAACACGACAATTTGTTTTGTCAAGTTGTGGTGAAACTTGTTTGTTGTAGGGCAGGGTGACGTGGAATGASGCTCCCCACGCCAAATCGCCTTATATAGAATGGGACACAGCAATCTTAGGGGCACAGAAAAGGAAGGTTGGCAACTGCGTGCCAAAATGTGACGGACCCTGCCGTGTTGGACAATTTGCGGCCCGCAGTAGTCAACCTTGTTTGTACGAGGGCAGCCCAACATTTAATCGACGGTCTCCCACGTCTGCTCCATACACGTGAGAGAATAAGTCCAAAAATTTTGTCAACCTGTGGTGAAAAGTGTTTGTTGCAAGGCAGGGTGACGTGGACTTCGGCTCCCCACGCACAACAATCTTAGGGGCACAGAAAAGGAAGGTTGGTTACTGCGTGCCAAATTGTGTCGGACACCGCCGTGTTGGACAATTTTCGGCCCGCAGTAGTCAACGTTGTTTGTACGAGGGCAGCCCAACATTTAATCGAAATGTGTTTGTCGGACACCGAAAGTCAACCTTGTTTGTACGAGGCCCGAAATGTATTCGTCGACAGTCTACAACATCTTTTTTTCTCTCTTGGACTCTCTCTCTATCTCTCTCTCTCTCTCTCTCTCTCTCTCTCTGATCATCAGTCTCTGATCCCTCAATTCCATTTGTCACTGCAATCATCACGTGTCTGGTCGGCGCGCACAAACCCAACGCTCGCCCATGTGATCTTCGTACTCCAAAACGTGCTCAGTCCTTAAACAAGGAAAACACAGCTACAACCCACCCCCGAACAACGCAAATGACCCGTAACCGAAACAGCTATTGCGCACGGTCCAATACCCTGATTCAACACGGTCCAAAACATTTCAACACATTCCAACACACTTTCAACACGTTTCAACACATTTCAACAAAGTTTCAACAACATTTCAACAACTCTTCAACAAGATTTCAACAAGCTACCAACAATGGATCAACAGTTGGACCAACTGTCTGTCAACAGTTGATCCAACAGTTGAACACACAAGTTTCAGTGTCCCCAATATACGGTCAGTGTTGGTTTCCTTCAGTTTGTGTTGAACACATGCCCCCCCCCCGGCCAACGGTTTATAAACAGTTGAAATGTGGTGTCAACATAGGTTCGACGTGGCAAAAAAATTGCCACATTTTTTCTGTTGTTATCAGTGGACATCCTAGCACTTAGTCAGTGATAAGAGTAACAAGGATCCTTGGATACCTGCCTTATTGATGTCTGGCAAGTGATAAGAGTAACAGGGAAAGCCTGCCTTATCAGTGACTGGTATGATATAAGAGTAGCAAGGTTTCAGGAATACCTGCCTTATCAGTGACTAGCCATAGGATAAGCCTACCGCTAAGTGTGTTTTAGTGCACAGGGACCAAGACCCACAATGATGCTTTTGTCAAAAAGACTCCAGAAACGAGTGGATAAAGCATGAATAGTCTACTATACCAACTCTAACTTTCTCCGCGATCTGCATTGTTCAGTCCTAATTGATTATTTCTGATTCTACTGAGGAGGTAAAGTGAGATCTTGATTCAGATATGATTGGAGCCCTGTCACATGATTCCATTCTAAGTTAAATAAATGGTATTGGTTGTGGTCACTGGGGACATGGGGTTCATAAAAGAGAGGGAAACTAAGTAGAACCAACGGGGACGAAGGGGCGAGGAATGAGTTTTGTTCGTCACCTGGACCGACTGGGCAGTGGACTAACAGTTAGATCGGGGAAGAAGTTAGGCAGTAGGACGATGACAAACACCAACTCTGGTCACAAGTCTAGATGGAGTCTTCCAGATCCCGACGTCGAAGAAAGAGACGTTAAGATTCTTTCGGACTGTGTTGTGTCTACAGGTTCATCACTCTTGGAGAGGACTAAGGAAGAAATCCGTAAGAAACTGCATATTCTGTTATCTCTGGATAACAGGTCGGTAGAACTCCGACTCAACTTCCACATGGCTTGATACCCACACCTAAGACAAGACCTAATAAGGAAGCAGATAAATCTTCCCCCTGTATCTATACCTAAAATTGTCCAAATCACACTCAGAGGTCTTTGAAAATGTGAAGGGCTGGGGTAAAAGGAGTCAAATTTAGGAAAGAATGTTGTCTTTCAAGGTTTGAGACGTGAGTGGCTTGCTATGAATGGGTTAAAGGTTGACGCTTATAGTACATTTTGTGTCTGCATCTGTATGCGTGTATGTGTTTCTCTTGCATCTGCACAGGTGTTGGACACTTGAACTGTCTTTCTGACTTTGGAATCATCTGAGATATTCGGGGAACGGGACACAGCAATTGTGAAAGTGAGGTCCACCGCTCATTCAGCTCCCCTGATTTACATACATACTTTTATATATATATATATATATATATATATATATATATATATATATATATATATATATATATATATATATATATATATATATAGGATTCTGCAGACTGTTGAGGGTTCAGCCTCCTGATGAGTCGGTGAAACTCCGACGAAACAGTTTGTCACAGCCCCTCGTTTGTTGTCCTCTTC